AAATCTTCCATATGATTGAAGAATGGAAGAAGAAGGAAAGCACCCACTCCTGTCAGAATCAGAATACAAATATTTTCCATTGATTAAAGAGGAATGAGGAAATCAAATTACACAACCCAGCCTGATATCAGATTACTAACCCATTCACAAGTTTGGGACACACATGAAAAATTGACAAAGCAAGTCCACAGAAATCTAACAAACAAAAAAAACTGACAGGTCTTATAACAACCCAACACTGGCAAACCCTACATCTGAACTCAACCACCGCCATAAAAACTGAGGGCAGATTACAGAGGGAAGATCCGACCAAGAACTCACCATGATTAGACAAGCATCTAGAACTCAAATCTACTGGGTGCGAGTTCTGCTGCTTTCTGCATTTCTGATAGGATAGAAGTAAGGATGGGCCTGCATGACATAAATAAGGTTTACTTCATTTTACAATTGAGTTTGAAACATATTATTATTGCAACACCATAAGCATAGTGCCCATGGTCAGGGATTCTTAACCCCCGACTTTTCAAAGCATGGGCCTTGCCCCACACACCATTAACTGTATAGATCTAGACTGGCTCTTTCTACTTCTAGGGAGTCAGAACCTCGTATGTATATCAAGTTCAATTTGGTACACTGTAACTTCTTCCTCACATGGTTGGTCAGATGGACAGAAGCAGTACTCTTTAAGATGATTTTCCTGTCCATTACTGGGAAAAGAACATCATGCCTTTTCACTTCTGACCATCTATCATGTGAGGAAGAGGTTCAGGTGTAATGAATTGGGATGGACACATGTGGGGTTCTGACAGTAGGAAAGAGAAAGAGCCAGTTAATTGGGTGCGGGGCGGGGCCCATACAGAGCTTGCCCCTACTCAAGGTCCATGCTTTGAACAGTCCCGGATTAAGAACTAGGATTTTACCATTGCTTCTTTTGCAGTGGGCCTTTCCTGGTGATCATAACGCAGCAACTTGTCTACGAAGTCAATAGCCTACAGAAAGGACATCACAAGTAATTAAAGACCATGAAAAACTCAAAACAAAACGAATCCAACACAATGAAAAAGAATTTACCTCAGGAACCGCTAAGTGCTGATTATCAACATTAATGAATTTTGTCCATGGTTTCCTGCTATGCCTACATCAGAAATTTTTTAAGGTGGGGGAAGTCAGCATGCCTGGTAACAAGGGAATAAAGAACAAACCATGAGAAAAACCACCTACCTCCCAACTAGAGCTGCAAGGTGTGGGTCTAACTCTATTCGGTACTTGTGCAGATAAGCATTTAATTCATCTGTCCCAAGTACCTGTTTGAGCAAAAGATTCCAAGACATTGAATTTGATTTCAATTGCTTTTTCTTCTTTTTCAAAGCAACACTAAGATATAGCATATTTCACACACACACACACACACACACACACACACTGTTTTCTTTTCTTCTTGAAAGCTACATCATTTGTTATATGAATTGAACATACACCACAACAAGAAACACACACAAATACATTTATTTGCACAAGTGTCAAATGCAGTCACATAGGCATATGATGAAGGATTCCACTCAGAAAAAAACAAGTAATCCACATTATTGGTTCTCTCAATGTGATGGGCACATGAATCAATTTGACAACGTAGAGGCAAAATATTAACTGTTGAAGTACAACAAGAACAATAAAAGACAAAGAAGCTTTCTAACTAGCATGCATACCTTTGCTATTTTGACTAGCTGATCATAGTTATCATGTCCATAGAAGAATGGCTCCTTACGAAATATCTGTCATAGAAAAATGGCTCCTTACAAAATATCTGTACAGCACAAGGCTAAGCATCACAAGAGAGCATCACATACTTTGACATGGTATCAAATTTTGACCCTCGCCATCTGCCACCCATGGATAAATAGGCAAGCAGATCAAGATCTATTGTCCATGCATCACTAAGAGAAGTTTTATCCATCACATCTGAAGTACTCATTTCAGGATAGAAAAACTATTGCATATATTCAAGCATCCCCTGCTAAATGCATAAATTTAATTATATCAAGGGTTGATTTTGGGCTAGATGGGGAAGAGGATACACAATACTTGATATATTTAGGCCAAATACCAGCATAACCATAATGAGCTCAGGAGTATGTGATATATAAGGTGCCTTAATAGAACAAAATAGGTTGGGAAATGCTCACCATTCCAGCAAACATGCAACCAAGACTCCACAAGTCTAAAGAATAATCATAATCTTGTAAATCAACGAGAAGCTCAGGACCTTTGAAATACCTGCAATCAAATGGGGGGTGGGGGAAGAGCATAAGACAAATCTGAACACAGAAAATTTATGTTACATATAATAACCATCATTTCATAATATAAACTAAAAGTATCCCATTCATCCTGCATCTATTTTCTGCTTTGCTGTGGTTCCCCTGTTCCCAAATGACTCCAAATATTGCAGGTATGATTTTACACTAATGTGGCATAATTTCCATACCAGATCCAATCTATTCCAATATCACTCCTCAAGTCAGAATAAAGATTTTTTTTGTTGAAAGAATGTAGTTTTGGGGGAAAAAGTCCTCAAAATAAAGAAAAAGAGGGTGGGCGTGGAGGGAGAAGGGGACTTGTTTCCTAAAACAATGTAGCTTTAATAAGGGAAGTTCTGTCCAGCAAGTGTCTTCCCACATTCCTACATTCAAATATAGAATTGTAATTTTAAACTTTCCACACAATCAAATTCTCTATGTATAAGAAGGTTTTAGGGAAGAGCAACAGTTTCTACAACAGAAAATTTTAAAAAAGTTATCACAGTTTGAGATAAGAATGTATGAAATGTGAATAAATATTATTGTCTTCTGTGAAGTAAAAGATATGAAAACAACCTCGAAGCAACACGAACGTTATACTCCTTCTCAGGATGATAGAACTCGGCAAGGCCCCAATCTATAAGGCGAAGCTTACGCTGCTCATGATCGATCATAACATTATGGGGCTTCACATCTCGATGCATAATACCTTGCGAGTGGCAATAATCCAAAGCCTACACAAAGAGATCCATAGATGACCAAGTTAAATAATATTACAAGCTGAAGAACTAAAATTTTGAGTTGGAAAATGGAAGAGCACACTTTGAGCATTGAGAACAAAACATAAACCTGTATCCATGTAAGCACCAGGCCCTTGAAGCTAGTTGGCTCAAACAGAAACTCACAAAATATTTAACAGAAATACCTCCACATTTTAAATTTTAAATTGCCTTAAATTAAGGTCTGATTTTCTCCAAGCCTGAAGAGATGATTATTCCCTTCTTTTCTTTTTCTTATGGGATGTCCTATATAAATCCTGTGTAATTGAGTTGGTCCATCTCTCAGTCTCTCCCAATAGCACCTTACGTATGGGAACATTGAAACATAAGTGTCTCAATAAGTTTCTCATTTGGTAAAGGTATAAGGGCAGTAGAATTCAAGATCAAACAATAAAGAACATTCAAGATAAGAAACAAGTCTAGAATGGGAGCTGCCTAAATATTAGCCCTATAGGTCCCTCAACCCCATCCTGAGTTCTAGCTATCTGCATGTTCTCCTACAATATTTTCATAATCAAAAGCAGAAAGGTCAACCCCGTCATGGAAATTCCATAGACACTCTTAGTGTTGATCACCTCAAAAGATAGAGTGCTCTCACCTTGCTTAGGGGGGCCATGTACAGCCTCTGTCCATATTTTCTTCCCGACCAAATTTAAAAGTGGAGACTAGAGCCGTGAACCCAAGGCCGCACAGGGCCATGCCCCTGATGGGCCGGATTCAGGAGAATAAATGACAACTGCTGCGGGAAGGTAAAATTCCATGACTAATTCTAATGTTTAATTTTTTTGTTAATTTATGAAATTATATTGTTATATAAATGTTCTGTGTAAATGTATTTTATAGAGTTATTGTCCATATTTGAAGTAGTGTTATTACTTACATTCTTTCAAAATAAAAATAAAAAATGTGTCAGGGCAGGGTTGGGGGGGCCAATATTCTCGCGGGGCAGTGTGAAGAAGTTCCACTGTCCACATTTTTAAGGCATTGATGGGGCCGGGATGAGGATCAAAAATAGAAGTGGCAATGGCAGCACTAGCCCAGCCTACACCTGTTTCTTGTAGGACTATTGAAACATTTAAATTGCACCTAGGCCATTCCCCAAAGCTGCTTAAACTAAGTAACAGCCAGCCTGATATATCATTGATCCATACTACAACCCAAAAATATTGATCGTTACTTCAAGTTTGCCTAAAGTTCAATTATTTATAAAATTGGTTGACAAAATTTGAAGAGTGGGAAATATAACTGCAAAGAAGAAAAATGGAATGAAGTTACAAGCTCCACCATTACTCCCAGGCACAAAGAGAAAGAAATCGACCTTATTATGGCCTTAGAAAGAAACTGACCTTTAAAACCTTGCAAATGTAAAGAATTAACTCAGTTTAAATCTCACATCATTATGGCCATATAATTCATGCTTCTTCTAAGTGAATGAAAATATAATCACAAGTCATCCTTTTTTAAAATTTCAGAACCAGAATGCCAAAGCTTACCTTGAGAAGTTCATAGATATAGTATCGTATGTCATAATCTGAGAGCGTCGGATAAAGCACTTTAAAATCTGTATTATTCACATATTCAAATATGAGACTAGGGGTCTTTGATTGCTGGTCCCTGACGATATCAAGCAACTTCACAATGTTGGGTCCTCCACAAAGATTCTGCAATATTTTAATCTCCCTCTTAATCTGCATTTAATGCCAAATATAAAATGTAAGTCTCACTGATTCTATAGAAATCTGTCATACAAGAAGAGCACTTTACTTCATATTGGCAGGGGGGGGGATGCGATAATACTGGTTTCTTTACTTAACTGTAAGAAGATTTCAGCTCTAACTTCATTAAGATTCCACAATCACAAGATTTCTAAATCAGACGCGCATGACAACAAGAAAGAAACCAATAGAAATAACCAAAAAAGGTTACTAAGGGAGCACAATTACTTACAACCAAATAATAAGAACAAAACGTCAATCTCCTCCCTATATACACACATAAGAAGGGAAAGGTAATGCCATTCAGAACTCACCTTCTTCTTTTTAACAGGTTTGAGAATCTTGATAACACATTTCTCGTTATCGGTGCAGTGAACCCCCTCAAACACCTCACTGTATTTTCCTCTCCCAACCTTCCTCACCACCTCGTAGTCATCCTGCTCCCTGTACAACCACAATTAATCAAAGAACAATAAAACATCCCTAAATTAATCAATTTTCCCCCCAACCAAACCAAAATTTCCTTCTTTTTTCTCGCAATTCAAACAAGAAACAGAAAAGGGTTGTTAGTTCGTTACCCCCATTGGACGGTGAGGGACTCGTAGTCCCAGTAATCCTTGGGTCGGATCACGTTGACATCGGAGTAAATCCTAGCCTTGGAGGCGGCGCCAGGGCGGCGAATCGATTTACAGATCTTCTGCGCCAGGGTTTCTGGGAAAGGATGAAGCGGCCTCGGTGG